AAAAAAAAAAAGAGACAGTATGAAACAAAATAGCACCAAATTGGGGGTGAGGAAGAAAAGGGCTCATCCAGCAACTGCTTAACTCAAGGTAGCCACAAACACAGAACCACAGCCAGCAATGAGGCTAGGCATACTATTCACTCTGAAACCCAATAAAAAAAAACCAAACCAAACAAAACAAAACCAAGAGAGCTAGTCACACAGACGTTGTATTTTTCTTACTGCAACATCTATGCCAAAGTCTAGCTTCTGCAAAGCATATCCTCTGTGAGAGCCACCTGGTATTACTCTCTAGACCACAAGAAAAAGCAGAAGTCAGTGATGAGCAGGAAGAATGTTAAATACAATAGTGGAAAAAGAGGATTCTTCAGTTAAGGTGAAGTTAAAGGCATCTGCCAACTTTTGTTGTTTGTGAACTGCATTGATATTTAAAGTAGTGAGGGAGAAAGAAATGATTATTTATTCTCACTGCTGTCACCATCACCATAAAACTATCAGCCACCCACAAAGAGCCTGCAGGTGAAAGGGAAAAATATAAAGGAAAAGTAGTACAGCACAAAGGGATAAATGCCACCAAAGACTACTTGCTCCTTATCATTTTGCTATGGAAGGGTAGAGATATAAACGTCAAGTCTTAAAGCACATTCATGTGCTGATTCTTTTCCTCTGACCAATGAGTATTATCATTAAGTTAAATGAGGCATCCTTTATGCAGAATCATGATTTTTACAAGCAGGTAATGTGTGTAAAGAAAGATTTTTTTTAAAGTAGTTTTCACAGTGGAAAGATTGCTTTATTGCAAAGCTTAAAAGGATGCTGCCAGTTTAAAAATCATGGGCCAGAGAGATTGGTATTGCCTCCTGCATGAACAGGGTTTCTAAACCCAGGACCTTCAATGCCATACCACAGACCCCTAAATGTGTAACTCCATGAATAGGTGGCTGTAATGGAATATTATTTTTTAGAATCTATAGTATCAGTTAGTATAGGAACATGATATGCTGTCAGTGTGCATACTTCTCTTGTTAGAAGAGGACCAAGATCTTAAATATTAGAACTTAGTCTAGTTCTACGCAGAACAGTCCAGCTTTCTAGCAGGGTCTGCTGTTTTCTATCAGGGTTTTTCTCTTTGATTAGCTGTATTCCTGCTCTACTCCATTCTGCTAACCAACAGAAAAGTGATCTATGCAAGATTATCTTAGATACAGAATTCCCCTGACATTTTACTGATCTAAAATCCTGAACAGGATTATAAATTATATTTCAATTATCTATTTGAGGATACTGGACAAAACATTGTCAGAGTAAGCTAGCTACGGAAAGGTGCCCAGTCTGAATCCCTTTAAGGTGTACACTAATGGCTTTGACATGCAGCTGTGAGCTCCATAGACACTGTATTTTTATACAGCACGTCTTGCAGAACTCCCACAAAGCAACACAACTGTGCTATCCCTAACAAAAGGATGTAGCTTAATGCTACAACTGAGGGTATGTCTACACTGCATGCTTATTTTGAAATAAGATTCTGGAAGACATACTCCAAAATAACTTATTTCGAAATAGCACGTGTACACTACAGAAAAGCCTCAAAATTAGTCCAAGATAGCACATCCACATTAGGGAAGCCTATCTCGATTTAGAGTCCCAAGAGGTACCGGGGAGTAATTAGTTTGAACGGCCCTGGGGAGGAGCGATTTCAAAATAGCAGCAGTGGCGCACCCACACTACTGCTATTCCGAAATAGTAATTTCAGAATAGGCATTAATTCCTCGTGGAATGTGGTTTGCAGAAGTCGGAATAAGCTGTCCGTTATTTTGCAATAACGGAATTGCCATGTGGACGCTCGCAATAACGCGAGCTATTCTGAAATAACAAAATAACGCTTCTGTGTAGACACACTGTAAGCCTACAGGAGAAAAGGCAGACAGGGCAAATGGCATATGTAGAAACAGACTCTTACCAAATTCTTCATCCCCTTGGCACCTACTCCCACCTAAGAGCGACTAAACTAATTGCTAATTTATTGCATTCAAAAATCTGCCAGCTTCCTATAAAATATATGAAAAAAATGGGCAGAAATCATATTTTCATTTGTAAATTTCCAGCCTCTTGAAAACCTGTCCCACAGAAGGTCAAAGCTGCAATAATTTCCCTTCCATTTAGCAAAAATACACTGGCAAGAACCTTTATCTCCTTCAACTCACTGATGTAACAAAATACAATATAGTATCATTTAAAAGTATTTCGGCAGACAATTTATTTATGTTAATGTTAATCTGTATGGTTACTTGTGATGCATTTTTAAACTTTCATCTGCATGTTAGGTACTTTAGGTCCATCTTAAAACATTAATATCTTGTAACTTATGTAAATAAGAATTCATATACCATAGCTTGTGCTTTTAAAGTGTAAGAAATATACATAAAACCATAAAGAATTGCCTTATATTTTATTTTATTTAAAATTATTGCCAATTTTACTATTTAGAGCTTGTAAAAGATGCCAGATTTCTATGGCTAAAGGCAGAAGTCCTGTTTCTCCTCTCACTTATTTCTCTCCTTTTCTTCGATTCAGTGGAATTACTCATGATTAACACTTAGGTGAGTGGTGAAGTAGGTCCTCTTTTAGCTCTGGTCTACACTAGGACATTATTTCAAAATAACTCCCCTTATTTCGAGCTAACAAACGGAGCGTCCACACCACCAATACCTGGTTAAGTAAACAGGCTGGTTATTTTGAACAGTAATTCCTGCTTTCCATGAGGAACAACACTAATTTAGAAATAATGATTTCAAAATAGCCTTAGTGTGGATGCTCCAGTGCCGCCATTTTGAAATAATTACTCCCCAGAGTAATTCAGACTAATTACTCCTCAGTATTTCCTAGGGCTCTAAGTTAAGGTAGCGCATCTATATTAACAAAGCCTGCCAGACACTAATTTAGAGACTTCCCCATAGTGTGGGCACGCTATTTTAAAATTATTATTTTGGGAGTTATTTCAAAATAATTTCCTAGTGTAGACATGCCCTTGGAAACAATCCTTTTATCCACAAAAGTAGTACAGTATAAGCAAGAGTCCCTGCACTATCCCACCAAATCGCACCAATTCCATCTACTGGGACCATCTCTATGGCTCAGAGGTGAGAGCCACAGGCATTCAGGACCTGATTTTGCACTGCTGAAATTAATGGAAATATTGCTATTGACTTAGGAACTGAATGCACAATCCTGCTCGAATTAAAGTTGCCAAATGTGCTAAAAGACTGATGAAGCGGATACTTGTCCACTGGAATCCTGGACCGAGACCACCTACTTATGTATATAGTCCACCTAGGAGTCAACTCACAGTTACATCTAAACAGATGTGCAAGACTCTGTATCCAGGCACTACTTCCCTGGGCCACCCAATCATAATCATAGAACCATAGAGCTGGAAAAGACCTCAGAAGATCACCAAGTCCAGCTCTGCTTTAGGCAGGACCAATCCCAACTAAATCAACCCGGCCAGGGCTTTGTCAAGCTGAGACTTAAAAATCTCTACGGATGGAGACTCCACTACTTCTCTAGGTAACCCTTTCCAGTGCTTCACCACTCTCCTAGTGAAATAGTTTTTCCTAATATCCACCCTGGACCTCTCCCACCACAACTTGAGACCATTGCTCCTTGTTCTGCCATCAGTCAGCTTTTCCTAATATCCAACCTGGACCTCTCCAACCACAACTTGAGACCATTGCTCCTTGTTCTGCCATCAGTCACTACTGAGAACAGCCTTTCTCCATCCTCTCTGGAACCTCCCTTCAGGAAGTTGAAGGCTGCTATCAAATCCTCCCTCACTCTTCGCTTCTGCAGACTAAACGGACCCAACTCCCTCAGCCTCTCCTCATAAGTCATATGCTCCAGCCCCCTAATCATTTTCGTTGCCCACTGCTGGACCTTCTCCAATGCGTCCACATCCTTTCTATAGTGGGGGGGCCCAGAACTGGACACAATATTCCAGATGTGGCCTCACCAGAGCCAAATAAAGGGGAATAATGACATCTCTGGATCTGCTGGCAGTGCTCCTCTTAATGCAACCTAATATGCCATTAGCCTTCTTGGCTACAAGGGCACACTGTTGACTCATATCCAGCTTCTCATCCACTGTAATCCCCAGGTCCTTTTCTGCAGAGCTACTACTTAGCTGGTTGGTC